TGCAGATTCAGCCTGGAGGGCTCCAGTGGCACAGCGGGTTAAACCACTGAGCTGCTGAATTTGCTGACCGAAAGGTCAGTGGTTCAAATCCTGGGAACGGGGTGAGCTCCAGCTTCTGCCAAGCTAGCAGTTCAAAAACATGCAAATGTCAGTAGATCAATAGGTACCACTTTGGAGGGAATGTAATGGTAGTTAAAATTACCTGCAATGTTTTAAAAGTCTGAGATTTTAAAAATCAACAAAACAGTATACCATTAAAAGCTCATCACAGTTAATTTACAAAAAAACCATGCTAGGATATGAGGGCAAAGAAGAATCCAGTTTAAGGTGAGAACATCAAAGGCTGGATCCACACTGCCCTGTATCCCATGAAGTGATCCCAGATTATCTGTTTATCCCAGATTCTCTGTTTATTCCAGATTATCTGGCAGTGTAGACTCATATAAATCAGTTCAAAGCAGATAATTTGGAATCAGATCCTGGGATATGAGGCAGTGTAGAAGGGACCAAAAGCAAATTATTTTCTTATTGTAAGCCACAATGAACATCTTACATTTATTTATTTATTTATTTATTTATTTACTGCACTTGTAGACCGCCGTTCTCAGCCCTAGGGTGACTCACGGCGGTGTACAACATATAAAACAGGTACAATTTGCAACATAAGCAATATCACAAACAACAATAAACAACATCACTATCAATAATACCATTACACTAAATCATTCGCGACGTCTCATCATTGAACCACAATCCAAATCTCGTTATCCATGTTCCGTTCCAATCGTCATTGCCAATTGTTGCAGCATTTACTCAAACGCCTTCTCAAACAACCACGTCTTTAGTCTCTTGCGGAATGTCATAAGGGAGGGCGCCAGTCTGATGTCCACAGGGAGGGTGTTCCACAGCCGGGGGGCCACCACCGAGAAGGCCCTGTCCCTAGTCCCCGCCAGGCGTGCCTGTGAGGCAGGCGGGATCGAGAGAAGGGCCTCCCCGGACGATCTCAAAGTCCTCGTGGGCTCATAGGCCGAGATGCGGTCAGACAGGTATTTTGGGCCGGAACCGTTTAGGGCTTTGTAGGCCAACACCAGCACCTTGAATTGGGCCCGGTAGCAGATCGGCAGCCAGTGGAGCTGGTACAACAAGGGCGTTGTATGCTCCCTGCGTCCCGCTCCTGTTAGTAACATGGCTGCCGCGCGCTGGACTAGCTGGAGCTTCCGGGCCGTCTTCAAGGGCAGCCCCACGTAGAGAGCGTTGCAGTAGTCAAGGCGGGATGTGACCAGAGCGTGTACTACCGTGGCCAAGTCAGACTTCCCGAGGTACGGGCGCAGCTGGCGCACAAGCCTGAGCTGTGCAAATGCTCCCCTGGTCACCGCTGAAACCTGGGGATCCAGGCTCAACGATGAATCCAGGATCACACCCAAGCTGCGAACCTGCGCCTTCAAGGGGAGTGCGACCCCATCCAGCACAGGCTGTAACCCTATACCCTGTTCGGCCTTGCGACTGACCAGGAGTACCTCTGTCTTGTCTGGATTCAATTTCAATTTGTTCGCCCTCATCCAGACCGTCACAGCGGCCAAGCACCAGTTCAGGACCTCGACAGCCTCCTTAGTAGCAGGTGGGAAGGAGTGACAGAGTTGGACATCATCTGCGTACAGATGACACCGCACCCCGAAACTCCGGATGATCTCACCCAGCGGCTTCATGTAGATATTAAACAGCATGGTGGACAGTATAGAGCCCTGTGGAACCCCACAGGTCAAAGGCTGTGGTGTTGAACAGGTGTCCCCCAATAACACCTTCTGGGTGCGACCCTCCAGAAATGACCGGAGCCACTGTAGAACAGTGCCTCCGAGGCCCATCTCCGCAAGACGCCCCAGAAGGATACCGTGGTCGACGGTATCGAAGGCCGCTGAGAGGTCCAGGAGCACCAACAGGGACACACTCCCCCTGTCTAGCTCCCGGCGCAGATCATCCACTAAGGCGACCAAGACCGTCTCGGTTCCATGTCCCGGTCTGAAACCAGACTGTGCCGAATCCAGATAATCCGTGTCTCTCACGAATACCTGGAGTTGTGAGGCCACCACGCTTTCCATGACTTTGCCCAAAAAGGGGAGATTGGAAACAGGCCGAAAGTTGTCAAATTTAGTGGGGTCTAATGATGGTTTCTTCAACAGCGGTTTTATAATAGCTTGTTTTAAGCTCGCTGGAATCTTGCCTTCCCGAAGGGAGGCATTAACCACCACCGTTACCCACTCAGCCAATCCCCCTCTGGCCTCCTTCAGAAGCCAGGATGGGCAGGGGTCTAGGATGGACGTAGTAGGCCTCATTCCTCCAAGTATCTTGTCCACATCCTCGGGCTTCACCAATTGAAACGAATCCATCAAAATAGGACAAGCAGGTGCATTTAGGCAGAAAAGTTAAATACATCGTAGCTCAAATTCATAAAATGCTTCACGCCCTCCACCCTCACTAGGGTTAGGAAGATAGGGCTCCCACAAAAGTTGAAAAACCACAATTAAAAACACCACTATGTTTTTACTTGAATCAGCAGTTCTTTAGGAATCGTAAATGCCTAGAGACATATTCTTTCTAGGCTCTCCAGCAACATACAGTCCAGTGGAGGACCTAGATATTACCTAGAGATTACTTATTAATCAAATCTACAACTATTAAAATATGCAAAAGTTAAAGCCATAAATGTGGAGGAACAACTTGAAAGGGGGAGGGAAGTAATTTGAAAGGGGGAGGGAAGCATGGGGTCTGTCTCAGATCTCTTTTTTGTGGGCAGAAAGTGCTTTTGTTTGATTTTGGTGGGTTCTGCATCATAGGTCACTTAATGCAGCAAAGTCCTCCAACTCCTTCTATATCATTTTAGGTAACTGGAGGGACATCTTCAGGGAAGTGTGGTAAAATATTAGAAAGCTAATGTCCCAGAAAATCAGACAGAATGGATCTTTCTATCAACATAAAAGCAGAACCTGGATCTGACTCTTTGTTCCCAAAACTGACCCAATCTTATGGTGCATCCATCAGTAACACAATGGTGCTGCAATAGGTTAAACCCTTGTGCTGGCAGGACTGAGGTTCAAATCCGGGGAGAACACGGAAGAACTCCCTCTGACAGCTCCAGCTCCCAATATAGGGATATGAGAGAAACCTCCCACGAGGATGGTAAAACATCAAAACATCCGGGTGTTCCCTGGGCATGTCCTTGGAGAGTGCCAATTCTCTAACACCAGAAGCAACTCACAGTTTCTCAAGTCGTTCCTGACACACACACACACACACACAGAACACAAGAAAGTTTTGGTGACAGATTTTGTCTAGCGAAAGCAGTGGGGGGAGGTAGGGAAGAAAAGAAAAACTACCAACTTCGTGAACTATGAATGGGAAAGAAAATGCAGAGTATGTGAAGATTAACTCTGTTTATAGTTTTGACCTTGGCTTCACAAAATACGTAGCAGCTGCAGCAACAGCTGGGCCATTCCAGCAGGTGCAAGACACAGATACCAAAGCCTAGGAATTCTCTTCTGGTCAAAACAAGTTTATCACACAACATTATGTTATGGGGAAACTCAGCGGCAGCACACATGTACTGCATAAAAGCTTCCAGATTCAGTCCCAATTCAGTTTGAGAAAGGTTGGACCAAGAAATCTGGAATTTAACACACATCTATACCGGAGTGGGAATTATGTAGGATTCCAAAAATTGGAGGTCCCAATGTTCTTCACCATGCTTTGGTGGCTGCTGGGATGTGTAGTCCAGCTGAAGCTGGAGGGCCACATGATACTCCCTCTGAGACCTGGAGATACCCAGCATCTTTGAAAATCTAGTTTGGGGACTGCAAAGGGGATTCTGGAAATATTACTTCAATAAAAGAGGTTTTTTAAGCTCTGGCAAGACTGAGCAATTCATGTTCTGGTTCAGTATAAGGCAGCTTCCTGCGTTACCTTGTGATGATAGCCACGTTGTTAGGGGAAAAACTAGACTATTATTCATTTCATGACAATTCACATAATAGCAGTTATTATGTCAGTTACTGTTATTGTAAGGCACTAGATGATGCTTTACACCAGCAGACGAAAGGAAATAATGTCGCCTTTGCAAAATCCCCATTTCTGATGTTCAGATCCAAGTTACCAGCATATACTGTAAGCCACAATCTTTGCAAACATGTCATCTTTTACAAAGCTGTACATTCAAAGCAGGCTTCTACAACTTGGTGTCTTTCTAGATGTTTTAGACTTCAGCTCCAACTGTAATAGATTCAGGGGCCATTTTTTTTTAGCTTACAAGATCATTCCAGGCTGCAAACAACTTGGAGGTGGCCTGAAATTCACTCCCGTCCTTTAAAAATGTGCATTGTTAGATATTAAAAAGTGCAGGGAGGCATGCATTGGTGTATTGCCTCTTATTGCAGTTTTCAGGAGTTAATGTGGCCAAAAAAGGATAGCACAAGATGAGAAGGTCAAGGGCCACAAGAACAGCCTTGGGACTACATAAGAATCTCCTCCCCACCCAACTCATTTGTCCATTCCTTGTCAAAAAACATAAACAACTGAATATGCAACCTACTTTAAAGAAACACATAAACTACAATGTGAATATTCCTCTGAACAACAAATCAATCAAATGCTGCTAGCACTGAGGACACAAGTGGAACAAAATAAAGAATAATATGAAAAAGCATTGTAAGTGAATGGAGAAAAACAACTTGACAACATAAACATTGCTCTAAATAATGCAGGCAAACTCAAAAATGAACAGTATGTTTGCAAAAAATTGCATTCTATAGGTAGCTGTTCAAAATAAAATTATATTATATGGTGTTTTCAAATATTAGTTTGTTTAATTGTGTTCCTTTTTAAAGCTCTAGTTTATTTAATCTTGTAAGTCACCATAGTTCCCATCTTAGGATAAAGGGTGGGATTTAAGACAAAAAATAAAGATGTCTATTAGTTTTCGGAATGTATCTAAATTAAAAGTAAAGACTTACCAGAGAGCTTGGAGAAGGCAGGGGTGGTGGCGGTGGCCCCCCAGAGGGTGTTGATGGAAGAGGAGGTGGAGGAGGTGGTGTACCTCCAGAAGAAGGCGATGGAAGAGGAGGAGGAGGTGGTGGACCTCCAGAAGAAGGTGATGGAAGAGGAGGTGGTGGTGGTGGTGGAGGAGGTGGTGGTCCTCCAGAAACCGATGGTGGAAGAGGAGGGGGTGGTGGTGGACCTCCAGAAAGAGATGGTGGAAGGGGAGGTGGCGGCGGCGGAGGTGGCACAGGCATCTTTCTTTCAAGTTTCTATTTCAGTTTGTTTTCAAAGTCTACCGACAGAATGCTGTGGGAGGAGAAACAAAATTCAATTTACATTGAATACGTAAATGGTGATACTCTGTAAGGCTGAAGTCTTTTCATAAATCATGGATCTGAGTCCGTAGGCCATCACTTTCTCATTCCTACCCCTTATAACACACACAAACACACATAAGTATTCATATCTTACGCATTCCATATAATAATTGTTACCACTTACACATGATGATGAATAGCTTTTGTATGAGTTCTTTTAAAAATGTATCGACTAAAACATTGTATGGTGTAATGGTTTGAGCTGCTGAACTATGATCCTGGAAATCATGATTTGAATCCTCACTCAGCCATGGAAATCTACTTGGAAAGCTTGGGTAAATCACACCCTCTCAGCCTTAGTGGAAAACTATGGTAAATCTCCTTCAAACAAGGCTTATAATAAAACCAACTGGTATAGGTCTGGTTGAATTCCAATGGTTTCATAATAGCAACAAAAAAATCTAGATTAACCAACTGAACTCAAGAAAGCTTTTGGGAAAATAGAAGAGATTTGTATATGCAAGGATTTGTTTGGAAACTCTAATTCTTGTTGCAAAGAAGAGTAAAGCATATACTTGGGGGCTCCTTGTTCTTCAGTTCTGCATTTGCTTCTCGAAACCTTAGTTAAATTATAGAAGCTGAAATCTGCACATATGTGATATCTATCATTCATTGTTGATCATGCCAAGCTGATGATAGAATGAGTGTTAGAAGGGACCTTATGGGTCATCAAATCCAACTTCCTGTTCAATGCAGGATCTCCAGCGACAGAATCCTCAGGAGATAGGTGTCCAACCACTTCTTGAAGACTGCCAGAGAAGACTCCCACCATTTCCCTAGGTAATTGATTCTATCGCAGAACCATTTTTTCTCTTGACATGTTTCAGCTTCTTAAGGATATTGGCTAACTTAAGATTTACATCAACTCCCACGTCTTCTCCAAGGTTAATTCTTCTGTTTTTCCCTCCACCTTCAATAACCTTTAAGATCAAAACTAAGGCTTCTGAACATACAATTCCATCTGTGCAATTAAAAATGCAATCATCTTACATCTAAAGGTTTACTTTGCTAGTGAGAACTGTTACAAGAATGGTCAATCAGTGCATGTTTATCAATCTGTGTTCTTACTATTTCTTAAAATAGCCATAAAAGTCATGTCCAGAAACAATATGCCGAAAGGCACTATGAATAAATTCATGCCCAGGGCAGGGTTTTCTTTTACATCAGCAATAAGGGAATATGTTGTTCTGTGCCTTCAAGGCATTTTTGACTTACTTTGACCTTACAGCAAACTTGTCACAGGATTTTCTTGGCAAGATTGGTCAAGAGGGGGTTTGCCTTTACTTTCCTCTGCTCAGGATCACCAAGTGGGTTTTCATGACTAAATGGATATTCCAGCCCTGGTATCCAAACCTTCAGTTCACTACACACACTGGTGCCCATGAGGAATACAAGACCTTTCATATATTTGTTAGGACTATCAGTCCTCACTATGGGCGATGGTGCCAAGAAATGTTGGGAGTTCAACCTCATCTTATCCATCCCTGTTTTTATTTGGAGGACCACATATAACCGACACTTCCTTGATTTCAGGGATCTTTTCCCCCAAATATCAGCTCAAAGTAGGAATGAGCATCACCTAGAGTTTTGACCAGAAACCATCACCGAGGTTTCCTTTGTCATCCAGAGCAACACTAAATATAGTAACACTCCTAATGCTGTGGTCCTAAAGAGAAGCTCGAGGCACAATGTGAATAAATATGTGATGCATTCTCTCTACTCATTATTTTGCCCCCCTCCAGGCTTCCTGTATTCTCTTATAGCTCAGCTTATAATTATTACTTTCAACTGAATAATTTAGAAGCACAGACACAAACACAGCTTTTTATAATGAAAAACAAAAGCTTCTGCTGAAAGCTGGTACCATGGTGACACAAGAAATTTTCATATGCACATCTAAAGTCCTAGTTCTCTATCTCTGTGGTGTTTGAGGGTTCTATGTTCAGCTCCACAGTGATCTGGCAGAAAGACAATCACCGTATAGGAAAACATGATATTGAATTTCGGGCAAATATAATATTAAGTAGGGTCAGATCTGGTTTACGATGGGATGAGAGTCTTCCAATGAATACAAGGTGCTGTAGGCTATATTTCAGAGGAAGGAACTGGCAAAACCACGTCTAAGTACTGGTTTGTCATATGTCAGGTGGAAACTTGAAAGCACATATATACACTAATGTACACACTTTCAATTCGCATGAGGTATCTGTCAGGTCTGCTGAACCAGACAACACTGCACAAAATGCTGGATTTGTGTACATGATGAGGAAACTGCAGATTATGAGAGGTCTCTAAATGATTAAACTGAACACCATTTTTCAAAACATGAATATTTCCTAGAAAGTTACAGGGCTTCTTCAATGTGACATAGCTAAAAACCTCAGCATATCTCAAAATGGCTAGGGGTCCAACAAGGACCAAGCTTTCTATCACCAAATTCATTCAAGAGCCCATGACTGCCGTACACTGTAGGGAAATGTTAGTAGCTATAACCAGATGAAGGTGTTGCAGAGAACTTCCGAAATACAGTTCCCTCTGTGCACAAATTTGAAAAGCACAATGATTAAAATTAAGCAGCGCACAACTGTTCGTATCTGTAATGTCTGATCCCATGCATTTTTTTTCAGTTACTCATACAGGTTGAGTAACTTTTATTTGAAATGTTTGGGATCTGAAATGTTTTGCATTCTTCCAGATTTTGGAATATCTATATTTATATATGTGTACATACTGGTATCTCTCGGAGATGGGACTCAAGTCTAAATACAAAATTCATTTATGTTTCATATACACCCTATGCTGTCAGCTCACAACAGCCGTTCCCAATAATGACACAGGACTCCACTCCGTAATCAGAAACTTTTACTGCTGGACATTCAGACACAAAGAAAGCCAGGATTGACTGGCAGCCGCCGGTCAACCCTTATATACCCTCCCCCACATTTGAAATCCCCTTTCCCGCCAGCCAAGAGTCCCGCGCAACATTCCCGCCAAATGCCAACTGCTCCCCCCGAGGTTACCAGCTGCACAGTTCTTATCAGCGTTGCATGTCAGGATCCTGGTTTTTAGCGCCAAAACCCAAGGCCTGGAAACCGGCTCCTGACACTATGCACATAGTCAGAAGGTAATTTTATACAATATTTTTAATATTTGTGTACACCGAACCATCAGAAAGCAGTGGTATCACTGCTTCAGCCTCCTTCCCACATGAAGAATTTCAGCTTTTGGAGTTCTGAATAAAGGTTGCTCAACCCATATAACATTCAAAATATTAATGAAAATAGGACTGATGGCAGATTTAAGAAGTGAATGAGGAATATGAACCAGTTCTGGATCCATGAGGCCATTTCTGGACCTGGAGCAATTATCACAATTAAACCACCAACAACCAAAAAGTCTTGTTACAATCAAGTTGCAGTTGATGTTAAAAGTGAGAAGCCTGTTAAGTGTTTAAAACTGTCAACAGTAAACTCAAGAAAGACTAACATTTATTAGGAGCACAGGATGGCGGAAGGGGAGCTGGAACACTTTCCATCCCATCATATCCCTCCCATGTACTTCTTACTAGCCCCAAGGGAAATAAAATCTGCCCTTACACTTCCTACAGAAGTCATACGCTATTAATGTTCCATTGTTGCTGTTCTTGTGGTAGAAGAAAACCGACATAGTTTCTAATCACAGGTAGTTTGGCTCTTGCTTGCAAATCTTCTCGAAGAATTCCAGGATATTCTGGAATGCAGAAGGAAATCCAAAGTTCTACTTGAACGGTACTAGTGATACAAAATTGTCATAGTTCAATCATGATTTGTATATGATTAATGGTATCTCAATGTGTGTGACACCAATATTGCCAGCTCCTCTGCCTCTTCCTTCCCTACCAAGCATGCAAATATCACACAAATAATTCCACCCAGAGCCACACAGCTTGCAGTCCTGCCTCAATAACATACCGAGCACATGTTCACCCTCCATCCTGTCTTTGTGAGTCACAGGGAAAAAGGCAGTGGCAGCTGTAGGTTTGCATGATATTTAATTTTGTACAATCTGATCCCATTATGCACACCCTTAAGAACTTACTAAAAATGTTTTTTCCGCTACATGATGCTTTTTCTTGTGTCATACTGGCACTACAACAAACTCGCACGGGTACACTACATCCAGTGCGATATTAAGATGCTGAAGCCTCATGCTATGTCAGGTTTTAGACGTGCCATAGCTAAACATTCACATATATGCAAATGTACACTTATGTAAAATCTTGAAATTTAGTTTTATTCACTTATCTCAAAGCCTGTCATAATCTGAAACCCTAAATTGTCACTCACTTAGCTTGTGCATAAATCTATAAATCAATCTATTTTTCAGGTAAGTTAAAAAATAAAAATAAAAACAGCCAATCCCTAGTTGACTGCATGGAATTTACTAGATTAATTTTATTTCAAATTTATAGTAGACCCACTGAAGTCAATGGGACTTAAATTTACCACCCCTAGTGATTTCAATATACATATATATCTTTGGATAGCATAGGGAAGGGTGAACATCCCTGCGGTGTTTGTTATGCTTTTCTGTGCCCCTGTTCAGAAGATTTGTGGGAAAAGGATCAGTGATAAAGATTCATTGGAGACACCTTTTCCCCATGATAATTCTTCCAGGAGTGAATTTTCCTTTCTAGGGGTAGATCTTCCCCACTTCCTGTTGTCTCATCCCCATTCTTAACTATGAGTCATTTGTCTGATGTTTGTAACTTGAGGATTACTTGTACTAGGATTCTGAACACCACAGTTGAAATCCCTATGCAGACATGGACACCACTGGGTGATCTTAGACAAATCACACTGTCTCAGCCTGAGCAGAATGTACGAGTAAAGGCAACCCTCATCTAAACAAATCTTATCAAGAAAACCCCATAATAGGTTTAACTTAGGT